TAGCTTATGCTCATTTTGACGTAATATGAAGAGGCTGTCCTGTGTAATTCAGCTAATATAATGCAAAATGCATACAGAGAGGTATTATTTCCCTTCATGTAAATACTGATTCCACTTCTACAGTAAGGTCATGAAACATATGGAATCGGATGAGTCTAATCAGTGTCATCAATCAAGGTATTTATGATCGAGTTGTAAAAGTTACAATTCTTTTCAGTGACTTTGTAGACAACATGCCATCACTTCTTCTCTTCTCAAATTATTAATTCAAAGCTTATTGTATTTACATTATTCTAGTGAATAGTGTTGCAGAGACGCACACCTTATAAAGATTTGTAGAATAATGTTGCCATTTCGATAACTGCTTTTTAAAAAATGATTCGTTCCGATACGGAATTATGCTAATTCTTATACTGTGTACATCTGTTATGACACAGTGGTTCAAGATCCATTTGGATTATTAGGGTCCAATTAATGATCATGAATTTTTGACATTCTGCTTATTTTACAGCCAAGAGTTATCCTTATTAGGCGACTATCGTCGATGTTAGTAACCAGTTAATTTTATATTCCTATAGTTTTAACGGCAAACTGGACTTGAAAGTTTTTACATAGTTTGGTTGGATAAAGGCAACAAACTTCAAAAAGGGCAATCAGTTTGCTAATTACTCATAGACTACCCAGTTCACATTTGGACTTTTCATAGCTGAGTAGTTTCCCAACTGTTTTGTGAATAGAACTTCCGTCAGAAATCATCCAGCTAAAATCACAAGCTATGGCATCTGATACAAAACTGTCATGGATTAACGAGACATATTGCTAAAGTACACAAATGGTTAAAATCGCTTCAAACTGATCTTCAGATTTCTCCAACTTCATTTTTATTTGAAAGTGTTTGCCAGGGTTTATCCCTGGTAAACTTATCAGTTATTTGGAGTAGACATCATATACTTAATTTTCACGTGTAATGAGAGCGAATGTTTTTCACTTAAGTACCACAAATATTTACTTTCCAAATTCTATCTCTTACTATCAATTTATTTTACTTGAAAGATGATAGGTGTGAAAGTGAATGGTAGACTAGACAAGGTTTGAATCAAGCCCAAGTGTGACCGAACAAAAAACTCGAAATTTATTCATACAGTAATACTTAGTTTGTAGTTCATAGAGAATTTTATTTTACTTTGTGTAACATACAACAGATATAATGTCTCGTGTCAACTAACATGAAGTGCGGTGATTTATTTTTTGCAGTCAAGCTGGCATAACTGAAGTTTTCGAAGGTCATCAGGCTCCTATCACATCAATTTCATCCCATCCACTTAGACACTCTGTAACTTCTACGTCGCTGTTTCTTACCACCTCTCTTGATTGGTCCGTAAAGTTGTGGTCTGTTAAAGAAAACCGTCTTATATGTTCATTTGAAGAAGCCTCCGATTACGTTTTCGATGCTCATTGGTCACCCCTGCATCCAGCTGTATTCGCTACTGTAGATTGCACAGGACGTCTTGACTTATGGAACTTGAATCAGAATAGTGAGGTAAATTCTCATTCTTCTAAATAAGTATTTGCAGTCTGTAAACTGTGCCTACACTTTTAGAATTGTGCGTTATTTTGTAAACACCACCCCAGAGCATTACCATATGAATTTTCGTATGTATAGAATTACTTCATCAACCAGTGATCTAAGGTAATTGATAACTAAATTTTTAGGTCTCTTCTACGAACTACAGAATCACTAGGAATAAAGCTATGCCACACATTCGTTCCATTCCCTATCGGGTGCTTTACAGCTATGTTCCGATATTTTATAGGTTTTAATAATTCCCTAAAGGGGTTTGCCATTTGTGGTGATAACTATAGAGCTGTAGCTCAGTGGTTTAAGAAGATGACTATCAGCTATTGGGTCACTGGTTTGAGCCATACCCCACCTATCGAGGTCTGGGCAGGCAGGTAGTATCACTAACCCCCACACAATAGGTGTAGCTCATTACCTACTGCACGAATGTGCGCAAGGTTGCTGAATGCATTTCGATTTGAATGAGTTAACACCATCGGTTTAGTAGCGCAAAGAATCCATCAGTACATGAAAAAGAACTAAAATGCTTCGAAATGAGTTGAGTAATAGTGCTCAGTCATTTGAAAGCAATTTCATAAAGTCAGTTTCACAATCACTTATTCGTTCTTGCAAAGCATATTTCAATCTCGGTAGTCGGGGGTGGGTGTTAAATCACCAGCCTGATCAATTTCCGATACATTCACTGGAGTGTAACTATTCTCATGTTGTTTCGGCCTAAGTGCTGATTGAATTCTGTCGATCGTTTTTGGTGTGGTAACTAAGCAAGAAGACCAGTCATAACCGTGCATTTAAATTGGTGCTCCTAGGTTGTTGGACTTGATTAACAGGCAGTCCCGGACCTGTCACTCGCCATTTCCTTTACAGCAACAGATATGTCTGAGGCTTCAGTCTGGTGTGTGTGGCTGATTGTTCATATTGCGCTACATATGCCGCAGAAAATGAATAGGTGTATCACTTGAGATGCACACAATATACATATAGAAAATGATGATTTCAAATTAGTTAACGCAACAACAGGACGCTTAGATCGCTTTCAGTAAAGTGAAACAGATAGATGTCACTGTAAATTTCTAAAGTCTGACTGAAATTAGTTTACTTCTCTAAGTTTAAACATTATACTGAATGCTATCGATATTCAAAGTGTGCCATTACGTTAACATGGTGACTGAATTTTAGAAAAGCAACATTTGCTGTCTGATTCGTACCAGGTGGAATAGAATCACACCAACTGATTGACCGATCCCAAACACAAGCAAAGTTCAAACCTAACCGTGCGTGTATTAACCTGAATTCTAGCTCCCACATTGTCCTCGAACAAATGCATACATACCATGTCACGACAATAGGTGTATTTCTAAACTTGAAGGTGGCATTTGACTACGTCAACCGACAAAACTTAGCTTTCTGTCAAATCACAATGAGGAGCAAAAACAGGTTAAAAGTCTACGCGATAATCATGAGCAGTGGTAGGTGGCTAAGGAGATGGGAAAAACAGTACTGATAAGTAACAACAAGAAGCCAGTTGTTTAGAATTATTAAAGGAACTTAGGGGGAAAACCAGTGATTAGTAAAAAATATGGAGGAGGAAAATTAGCCTCCGATTCACTAACAGGTTAGATAACCTGAAAGATGGACAAAACACTTTGAAAAACAGTCCTACTGATTTCCAGCTAACGATTGGTTGCCTACTATACTTATCGATTGACTTTTTCACAAAAACCCCTTAGTTGAGTACAAGTACACCGATGACATATTCTTATTACGCAAAGATCCTGACAAGATGCAGTGTCTACTGGAAACCTTGAGTCCAATTTAAGAATGGTTAAGATGCGTTTTTCACTACGCGAATTGTGTTCTAGGACAGGTTTGCGTCGGTTTCTTGTTTAACAATAAATAAGTGGTTGAGCACGTCAACCAACTCACTGATTTGGGAAGTGAGTTCAGTCCCGATGATCCAGTATAGGCGATATCTATATATGACTACAAAAAGCTTGATTGGCGTTTGCCGATTTACACTGTGTTACCAACGGGATATACGATCCCCTACTAAGAATGGAATTTACTACGCAGCAGTTAGCTCACCGCGTTTTGTAGAAGCACCACGTTAGTAATGTAGCAGTTTAGGCTTAGAGTTTTAAATGAAGTGGGTCAGCTGGTGAGGTTGTTGTGAACCTTCATTGACTCAGTTGATTGAGACATGTTATGCATGCCTAGTCACAGTCTATTCAGTCGCGCAGTGGCTGAAGTAGGTTTAGACTAAGAAGTTGAAAGTGATCGGAGCAAAGGATAGTATCAGATCACAAAGTGTGTTGAGTAGTAGGTTTGCTGTTTGGTATCCTGATAACTACCGAAACGAATTATTTTAGACTCTAGGTGATATTACTCAGAATCGACCTTAGTGGTGCAGATGTATCTGCACATTATCTTCATCTTAATCATCATATCACACTTTTTTTTACTCCACTCCCTCCTATCTTCCACTGAAAAACACCAATAGTGTTTCACTGTCAGCGTTCTTGTTTGACTTCCTTATAGATGTATCAATGGACATAACCTTAGGTATGTCTGACTTTACAGGAATATGGCTACTCTTTGAAGACCTGTTGATTGGGGCAGGCGAATTACTGACAGCATGCAGAGTTTTCTGTAGTCCTCGGTCGGGAATCTAAGTATGCTTGGTTAGCATACGTTTCGCAAGATGGTACTTCAGGACAGGTCTGCACTGATTGTTGCTCTATAGTTAGTGAATTGTTAGTATGGCGGTATATCCAACTGCCCATTAAAAGATGAGTCTTCTGCACTGCAGTCTGCTCTGTTCAATTATATCGTTGTGAGACCGCTGTCGAAAGTAGAAGACATTATGAGACTACAGATTTTTACCACAAATGCCTTCGTTTCTCTTTTCTACCTGTTCTAGTGCGGGAGCCCCTGCATATTTCTTCTTCCTGTCCTTCGCCGTGAAGATCCTAGCCAGACATGTACGCAGGCCCGCTCAGATCTATTCATAAAAACTGCGCGGACAGTACCAAATCGTCGGTCACTTTTTTCGCGTGATATCTAGCTTATTTATATGCTGGACGTACACTACCGAATTATATACGTAGTTAGAAACCACTGATACTGATCTGTAGACTTCATTAACGAGATTAGAGTCATCTAAGCACTGAATTCTTCCCAGTTTTTGCTTTTCGCATAAAGAAGTGGGCTTCCGATGCATCGTTGGTTTAAGACTGTGTTCAACACTAATACACTTTCGCTTGTCAAGATTAACAGACATCAATGCTCTGCTTTGGAAGTGCTTGTTTTTTCTATGGTTAATTGAGTAATGAATTGTGACTAGAAGTATGATTTTTAATGTCACTGTAAAATTGACTAGACAAGTTTTCTCCAGCTGTTACAAGTTAGTCTGTGGTTAAACATTATGAATATTTCGATTTGTGGAACTGTAAGCGTCTATCAAATCATAAGGACCACTCTGCATAAAATTATTTTTGCGACATTATTAGTTAGCTCAGTGTAGAGGAATATGCTGAAGTCACAATGTACGACTTCTGTTTGTCAGTAGTTTATATTTTTCTGAGATTATAAAACATTTTTTTATTCAATTCAGGTTCCATCATTTCGTACTGTAATCCCTGGTCAACCGTCACTGAATAAATGTCGTTTTCATTCATCTGGTTCATATATTGCTGTGGGTGACGATAATGGTCGTATTCACATGTTTGATTTGAACGAAGTAAGTAAGATTCGTTGAACTACTGTGAGTAGATTTAACCTGTGTTTTTGTATATTTTGTTGCACCATTTCAGTGTTTTATGAAATACTAAATACTGTCAGCATAAGATATCATAATCGCTCCATTCAAACCAAGCGATCAATAATAGTCACATTTGTACTTAGGAAATCTTTAAAAATAGGAGAATACTTAGTAAATCAAGGATTTCGCCAGCGAATGGTATTTTAGTTTAAAAAAAGGCAGCTGGTTCTGTTCTTACAGAACGAGAAGTCAACATCTGTTTACTTTTTCCAAACTCGAATCCTTTCCAGAGATTCGCGCAACATAATTTATTCATTCGGCTCATTATTTTGAGGACCATCAGTTTCCTGCATCCTGTTCAGTACATTGTGTAAGTTCGCAGCAATGTTCACATGTAGGGACGCCAGCAGAAGTTACTAGATTCGGAAATCAGATTCTGATAACTGCATACTACTTGATGTGTGGAGTCATTCATGACTAACAAAGCATACTGTGAAATAAACTGATAGTTTCCTGTCACAAATAACCTCACAAACGATTAACGATTTTAAATTTTATCTTTTAGGCTATGGCAACACCTCATCCAGACGAGTGGGCGATGTTTTCGCAAACAGTCAACGAACTTCGACAAACTGCGGCTGAACAGAGAGAGAATGAAAATGATGCTTACTTAGGTCGCTCTCCTGTACCCATCCTTCATTAAACACATTGAAACACTTCTGCTATCTTTATTATTCTCTCTATCTCATAATAAATCTCTCATGATCTTTCGTTTATGTTTTTCAAGGGAGTGGTTTGTGGATGCTTATTGATTTCAAGCTGGAAAGAATTGTCATTTTGAAAAATGCAAAACTAAAAAGCTATAGACAGCTGCTGCATCTTAATGAAACTCCTCAGTCGTGTACAGTGTTTCACTTTTCCGACTGACAGCTGCTACCTTGATGTGGTGGTCAGGCTTGTGTATTACAATGGCCCAGCCAGTTATGTTGGTGGAACGCTTGTTCCGTAGAGGTCCTACCATATCAGAAGTCTGTTGGATAGTGGAAAGGTGAAATGCCCTTTGTGGTGACAACCTCTGTGACAAGGATCTGTGGGCGAAGTTCTGCTGCTGGAAAGATGGGGGTTGTGACAGCTGTAAGGTGTTTCCTGTAAATAAATAGCAGCACCGCGCTGGTGCCGTCTTCCGTACAGAGAGGTCGGCCTAAAAAAGCACATTCCCTTCTTACTCCATGACATACTGGTGCTTGGCATATGGGTTCAAAACTAACAAACAAACTGGAAAGGCCAACCGTAACTGCCCTCGAGCAGATATTCCTTAGGCTTTGTGGTCGAGTACAATCTTCTTTTCACGGTGTGGGAAGCGGGTGGTGTCCATCGCCTTCACAACCCTGTCGGCACTTCGGTTCACATCTTAATCTTCTAATCTTCCTTCACGTCTCTCGATCAACATTCCTACTTCATCTCTAATTTTGTTCCAGCTCCCCACAACGATCTGAGTTCACGGAGCAAGAATCCTATCGAAAACTATCTAGCCTGTTATAACCAAACATTCAGACGTGATTGCAGGTGATTTCAATGCAAAAGTGGGTAAGCTAACTCATGCGGAAAAGTACGTAGGTGGCATTTTTAAAATCACATTCAAATGAAGAGATAAGGGTGACCGCGAGTGTGCTCAGCCAATCTACTTCTGGTTAGCACGAACTCCAGGCATAAAGAGAAACAAAGACATCATCTACTGAACTCGACTCAGTGGTGGAAACATAGACCGTTTTGCCATCAGTTATTGATGGGAGATTGCTGTTGCTTCTGGAGTAGGTGTTTGGACGGCGACAACACGTTGGTTCAAAAGTGTATTTTAGTGCCTAAGTAAATGCAGGAAAACTACAGCAGTAAGAGCATTGTGAATATTGCTTGACGATGAGAATACTAAGACGGACTTCCTCAAGGAACTGGCTAGACAGATATCGACATAAGACAGACCGTAGATAACCTTCGGTGGTTAGAAAAGGCCAGTGGATCTTAGCAGCTTATGAATTAATAAATGTGTCCGAACGCATCTCTGCAAGCATAATGAGGAGCAGTAGCAGTAATGAGTAGCAAAAGCTAAAGAGATGAAAGAGGCAACTGTAATGGGTAACATTAGACAGCTACTATTTCGTTGCCTGCTGTTCAGTGGGATCGTGAACGGGACGCTCAGATAGCCCATCGAACTCTTACAGAAGTTGAGAAGGCGGTAAAAAACCTGCAGCGAGGATGGGGAGTAGACTTTGTTGAACTACAATAAGTATTCGAAGATGGAAATCGAGAATCACTAACCGAAGTATCATCTAGTGTATGAGAACTATATATGAACCCGTCTGACTAGTTTCAGTCAGTGATTCTTCCAGTCTTCAAGAAAGAGGAGAAATATTGTTGTGATAAACACAGGAGAATCAACCTGATGAACACTGTGTCTAAGACTCTAGGTCCCATAATTATCAGACGTCTGAGCAGAGCTCGAGAAAAGCAAGCAGGTTTCAGACCTGGTCTTTAGTGTATCGACTAGATATTCACTTCGTCAAGTCCTGGTACACAGACTCATCTATCAACACCCGAAGCTAACTTTATTTGTCGACCTTAAGGTGGCATTCGACTCTGTCGATCGTGAGGTCTGGTGGCAGTGCGTCACCGGAAGGGATGCTTAATAGGTAAGTACATCAGAGTATGAAGCTTTTTCACTCAAACACCGGTGGGCATGTCACAGCATACTGGTGAGATGCACGGCGAGTGATGTTCACCAAGGATGTTCACTCTATATTCCTACGCATTTTCATCATAGATATACTCTTGTAAGTCTCCCTCTCGTCGTCTGACTTCACATCGATTGATTCAATCACAGGGTAGATCCGGAATACGCAGATGACGCAGTCCAGCTAGGTGAAGGCCCTGATTAGATACAGTCTTCTGGGCAACTTAAGTTGGAGTTTGGGATGCGTTTCTCCCCGCTTGAATGCAAATTTTGCTTCAGAAACTAGTCTTCACTGGTGCTTTGTTTAACAATATGGAGTGAAATGCTTGAGTGCGATGGAAAGTCGGATTAGACTTGATTGGTCAGTAACCGATGAAATCTCGTCACACATCTTCGTTTTCGCCAGCTTACTCTATATCAGTTTGTTTATTAAGGGTCGAGTGTGCCATTCTGGATTTCGCTCTGTTCTGCTCTACTTTATGGTTTTGACACATACCGATTAAAGGTAGGGGAGAGAAGGTGGCCTCGGGCATTCAATCACCGTTGCCTTCGTAGCATAGGCTGTGTCATGGTATCAACAATGTAAAAGTGAGACGTAAAGTTTTAGAGAGGAGAGGAAATTCAGTCGATGAGGTTTTGCTTCAAACATGTAGACCACACACCCCCACAATGAATTTACTGCTCCAGTGATAAGTATCTAGTTTTCTACAGCACACATCGTATGAACGTAACTCCTCTTTCCCAAACTACTGCAAAATATGAATTGGTGAGACAAAGGGTGCTGTGCAGAGAACCATCATCCCCCCAGTTGGTATCACAGATATGAAGCGGACTATTCCATACTCACCGCTTTTGTCACATCCATTCTCTAAAATACATGTCAAACATAAAGGCAGTATTCAATCACCATATCAATAAGTGTGATCACTCTTAACGTTTCGAAGTGTGTGGATCGATCGTTGAAGTTTATTTAAATAACAGCACCTCTTGACTGAATCCCTGTAGACAATCACATGTGCAGTGCCCGATGGAATTGTACAGTAAAAACTGGAAAAGATAGCTATATGTACCGATTTCTTCTCGTAAACTATACCGACGCAGAAGAGTATAGGTCCTACCAAAATCTCTAAAAACTACATATAGCCAGTCGTATGAACGCAGAAATCTGAGGCATACAAGGCAAAACCAGGAGGGGAAAAAACTAGCTGATACATTAAGAATCCAAGACCAGTGAACCAATAACTGGGATCATTCCTTATAACTACTCTCACATAACTATCTATTCCTAGCGAGCACTAGATGCAGTCACTCCGAACTATTGGCTATTAGGTCAAACTGAACGGTAAGAACACATGGTATTGCTTTCGGCCGGAATCTGAAGTTCTTTCTGGAGCATGTGGTGGCTCGTTGGTTTAGATATTTCATTCCTAACCAGTGGGTCACGAGGTCTAACTCAGCTACCAAGGCCTGGGCAGGCATGCAGTAATATCAATACTCACAAAACAGCTATGGATCATTGCCTACGGCATGAAGGTTTACAAAGTTGCTGAGAGGGTTCCGATTTGCGATTCGGGGCACGTGCACTGATAGTCCGTAAAACCGCGTATTATGGGCTAATTAAAGTTAAGTATTAAGGCCCTTCACATGTTCAGTTCGGAAGAAATATCAATAGATCCACAATGCACCCACACAATTAACGAAATATGACTTTACCAATCTCCAGGAAACTGATGTTATCTCTGATCCCCTGAGAAGGCATCTGAAGAGAATGCGACCTGAAGAAGGAAGATAAATGATTTATAGCAACTTCATCTGAATTAAACAATGGAAACTTATCAGAGCACGACGACAAAAAGTAGCTTCAATGCAGACAGAGTCGACGAAGTAATGGGTAGCGAAACATGAGGTGAAGGCAGAGGTTATAGGTGATAATAAGTAGTCTTTTGTGTAGGTTACCGAGTCTTCAGTAAAGACGGCTATCTTCAACAAAATTAGAAAAGAAAAAGAAGGAAGAGACTCGGTTGAATAAGAGGCAACTAGAGTAATGGATAAGTACCTATATAAGTTCCAATCGGCCTATAGTTACTCCGAAGTCACTCACTACCCGATCAGCCTGACAAAGAAATTAACAATATTGCGAAGGATGTAACAACAGTTGGCGGATAGTAGCAAAAACTGCAGTAGAATCCAAGTTAAGGCATGAACGAAACCATATTATTTCACTAAGGGCTCCACATTGACGTTCACTGAGACAGCTGCGTTTACCGGACAATGATAGTAAGAGACATTTCTCCTTCTTGATAAATCCCACGGAGACCAGTCAAATGCGACATGCTTCAGTTAACCTTGCGATAATAAGCACTGCCAACCTGATCCTCGGGTACGCTGTAACCTGACAGATATTCAGAAGTAAAAGTATCCAAAAGAAACAAACAACCTAGAACCAACCGTAAAGTGCATCGGTACAAATACACACGATTCACAGTACTATAAGGAAAGATGGACAAAAGTCTGAGTGGAAACAAAAAAATCAGAAGATAACGGTTAGTGCTAATATTCACGCTTCAGAAGATGTCAAAGAGTGAAAACATTTACCCCACTATAACCGAATTTCAACAATATCTCCAAAGATCGGTTCCTTTCGTCCTGACGACCCCAGCCCAGCAGACCCCCACCACCACCACACGACACAGATCAACAGTTAGAGATTTTATCGACTGGTGATACATCTTAGTCTAGTCACCCTGAACTCCCTCTCAACCTAATCCGACTTTCCCTAGAATAACACCACCATGCAGGTGGTGGCTTGGCATGTACAACGAATGTACAAGCCATCTCAGTCGACTAAGGTTAAGGTTCACGACCTCATCAATCGACTTGCCTGTCTTGTCTGGTACACTTCTCCTGACTTCAGCATTGCTCACACGGTGATTCCAACAAACGCGAACAATGCTACGAAAACATCCATGATAAAA